AATATTAATACTTACAACTCATCTCTTTAAAACTATGAACGTTGTGATGCAAAGCAGCCATCAGTAAGACATGGTGCACTAATCTCCTCAAAACAAACAGTTTTATCTTGCTTTTCTCCACAAGCATGAGAAACAATGAAAACTTCCAACACAGCTCCCATGGTTGTTGCGTCACTAGATATCAAAATCGCCCTCATCTTAGCCCACACATTAAAACCATCAATTTAAAAGCCCGCCTTCAAAATTATGCCTTGTTATCATCTTCTAAAATGTGCTTCTGACATGCTTGGGAAGGCTTTTCCATAACACAGGGGCTATAAGGGGGGGGGCAGAAACCCTGAGTGGGAGCAGCAAAGGTCCACACCTGCTTATGGGAGGATGGGCAGAGTAAACCTTGGTTGGTGGAGATGTTGCACAAGGACAGAGAGGAAGATATGGTTCTGCAGATATTTGGGACCTAGGCCACAAAGAGATCTAAGGCAAGAACAAGCAACCCATGAATTGAACTCAGAAACCAAGAGGCAACCAATATAACAATCTTAAAAGTGGTTTGATATATGTGAAGCAGCCTGCTCTAGATAACAACCTGCTGTGTTTTGCACTAATGGAAGATTCCAAGCTCTCTGCAAGGGCACACCATCTACAGTGTATTACAGTAGTTTAGTCTCAAGGTTACTGTAGCATGGATCAGCATGGCGAAGTCAGCCAAGTCCAAAAACAGAGTTAACTTATACATTAGATAAAGATGGAAAAAAGCACTTTGTGCTATAAAACCCACCTGCTTTTCAAATAAAACAGCAGAGTCCCACAATACTCCAAATGTTCTGTATCCAACAAGGATAAATTTACTCCCTCAAATGGCATCAAAAACGAGGAGTGCATTGCCCTCAAGAAAATCAATCTAACTTAAAGGCTTCACATACATATTACTGTAAAACACATAGAAGACAAACAATGCTACAAAAACCCATATTTGGTGAAACTGTGAGCAAAATGCATACATATAAAAAACAGCCTGGGTTGGGACCTTTTCTGGTATGCCACCTATATTTCTGAAAGAATGACAGTGCATACGGAACCAGATGCATGTGAAATGGGCAGAGAGAATTGATGTTTAAACCTGCTGTTCAAGTTAAGAAAATTATTTGCAAAAAAATATATATCTTCCCCTCAAGTGGGTTTAGCAAACACACTGAGTCAAGCATGTTCAGTGTATTATGCTTGCTGCTGTCAGATGTCCATCATAATGCACAGAGACGCAGTGAAACTGGAATGTTTAGGCATGGTTGACTAATTCATAGTCTAGTTTGACTTTCTGAGTCTACTGTGGTTTTCTGTTCTGCTCAGCACCTGTCAATGGAAGAACTACATTTTCCATTCTGATCATGATTAGGGAGAGATTATGTTACCTCAGAAGTCGGCAGGGTTGCCAGCTCTGGGTTGGGAAATACCTGGAGACTTTGGGGCTGAAGCCTGAGGAAGGCTGAGTTTGGGGAGGGGAGGGAATCTAATGGGGTATAATGCCACAGAGTCCACCTTCCAAAGCGGCCATTTTCTCCAGTTGAAGGCTGATCTCTGTTGCCAGGAGATCAGTTGTTATCCCAGGAGATCTCCAGCCACCACCTGGACATTATTGATTGTTGAATATATTTTTTGCTATTTATGCACAATTTGATCTTTTGTATCTCTTGTATTACTTACTCACTTCTGTGCATCTCTGGTGTTTGGGTTTCTTACAACCTGGACATTGGCAATCTGAGGAACTGAAGATCTCAGATACTCTCTGCCTTTGGTAGCATAAGTGGGGGGGAAACGCTTCACAGAAGTTTTGTATGAACACAGTAATGCAACACTGTGGATACAGGACCTTCCTCATTCTGTTTTGTCCAGATAATTAGGTCTATCTTATTTCTCCAAGACTATCACAGAATCAACAAGACTGGATAAACCCAAAGGAACCTCTCCTTCCATGAGGAGCCCAATGAAGCCTGAATTCCACAAAGATGTTTTGAGTGCCACCTTAGTTGGCTAGCTACCAGAGAGACAGCAGCATGCTAGAAACACATTCCACTCCCTGGCAATCTCTTTCAGTGCCACTCTTTGAGTGCCACCTTAGTTGGCTAGCTACCAGAGAGACAGCAGCATGCTAGAAACACATTCCACTCCCCTGGCAATCTCTTTCAGGACAAATAGAAATAGTGTTTAAAACAGAAATTTTCTGGGCTCTGCTTAAAACCCCCCCCAAAAAAACCAAACTAGAACTACCACGGCTCACCTGTGTCTTTTACATTTCAGCCAAGATCACAATTCATGCAGAAACCGATTTACGTTAAACCGTCTTGACCACATATTCCTGTTGGACATGAGAAGAGCAACTTAGTCTTCGCATGATTCTTAGCAACCAGCAGGCATTAAGTGGTCCATCAGAAATTGGGCCACAATCAATCTTCTGCCCACCACTGCTATAAGGAGACATGCAAAGATATTATAATGGGGGGAAAGAACTTGTCCGTAGTTAACTCAGATCTAGAAGTGGCGAGATCTTTGGAGTTGCAAGGCCAACTAAATTAGTCCTGTTTGGAGACTAGGAAAGCTGGGAACTTCACATCACACCAGTCCACATGGCTGCCAGGGAACACTGAAGACAATTCAGTGTGCCGACTAGGAAAGCTGGGAACTGCCATCCATAGGTGGCAGTTGCTTCACATCACACCAGTCCACATGGCTGCCAGGGAACACTGAAGACAATTCCGTGTGCACACTTGGCTTCTTATACACATCCTGAACGACCAGTCTGCTACAACACAGTGAGATTTGACCTGCAGGCCTTCTGATAGCTGGCCTTTAAGCCCACTTCTTGAGACACACTCCTTTTTTTTTTCCTTTTAGCAAAGGGATTTGCACCTTTGCCCCATGCCATCTCATTGTTCAGAACAGTATTATCCCAGTATTAAGAGAGCCAGTTTGGTGTAGTGGTTAAGTGTGCGGACTCTAATCTGAGAGAACCGGGTTTGATTCCCCACTTGCACCTGCTGATGTGACCTTGGGTCAGTCACAAGCTCTGGCACAGCTGTTCCTGAAAGAGCAGTTTGTGTCAGAGCTCTCTCAGCCCCACCCAACTCACAGGGTGTCTGTTGTGGGGAGGGGAAGGGAAAGGAGTTTGTAAGCCGCTCTGAGATTCCTTTGGGTAGTGAAGGGCGGGGTATAAATCCAATCTCTTCTTCTTCTTCCAAGCCCTCTGCAGATGTTCTCATGAACTGTGACCATGTAGTCTCCACAATGCACCTGATATGTATGACCACTGTGTGAGTTCAGCAGTGTGTAGATTTCCCATGCACATACTGCCTCCATACATGCAAACCAGAACTCTCAAGGGTTTTTAGGACCAGTCACCCTTATCCTCAACCAAATAGGGCTGTGTACATGGCATGATGCTTAAAGGGGGATAAGGAATACCTTAAGAAACTTATTTGTTTAAAGGTGTTCCTTGCAAGTAGAGAAAAGCTTCTCTAAGTGACTGTACTAATTCTGTGTTTCAAAAAATGCTAACACCTTATACACATTTAAGCACAACATGTCTCAAGGACTGACCATTCCAGGGCATTTTCAGTGGTGGCCCCACTTTTCTAGAGCAGACTGTCAACTCAAGTGAGATCTACATATTCTTTGTGCTCCTTTGAAGGGCTTTCTGTTGATTGTACAGTTGTGTCAAATGGCCCCAAAATTCAAGACACAAAATTATCAGTGACCTTTTTTCTGTTCTCGAAGTTGTGGTTATGAAGGAAGATTTTTCCCATTTGTTTCTTTGAAATTCCCCTCCCCACACCTAGAAATAAGGCAGCTCACGGACCTGCAGGCCTAAGTTTGCATAGGGGAGTGCTACTAGAGACTGCACCTTGCAGTTGCAACAAACAACTAGACTTTTTTTTTTTTTTGCCATTGCCTAGCGACCCTGGTATTCCCTGGGGGGGGGGGTCTCCCATCCATATATTTGCCAGGGTCAGACCCTGCTTAGTTTCTGAGCTCTGATGGCATCAAGCCAGCCTGGGCTAAAAAGCAACGTGTTTGGGTAAACTGACCGACGTAGTCCACGGTGACTAAAATGCTGTCCGCGTTCCACTTTAAAACCAGTCTGGGACTCTCCACCGTCGATGAATCCGGCAACACAAACCTCTCCCCTTTGTGATCCCGCGCGTCCATCGCCGAGCAAAAACCTAAACAGATTTTTTTGAGGGGGCGGGGGGGGGGCCTACGGCAAGGAATAATCGAAGTTTAGGCTGCGACACCACTTCCTTATCACATTCAACTCCGATACACTTTCGTTTCAAGCAAACACTCTGCGCTCGTGCCGCCCGCTCTCTCGCAGGCTTGCGGAATCAATCAGGCTTCCGAGTAAACCTGCTTACAACTCACGTCGAACCTCTTTGCCCGCTTTCTTCCGAGAAAGCCCCGCTGAACTCAGCGTGGCCGACTTCTGTGGCGAAACACAAAACCCAGGTGCAAAGGAAACTAGGGGAGTACATTGAACTTCCGAGCCAGCATGCCTGGGATCGGACTGCAACGCTTGTAAACCCCAGCAATGCTTATTTTGGAAGCGAGCCATCTTGAAGTCGAGGGGGGCTTACTTCCAAGGAAACACGCTTAGGAGCCGCTTGCAAGGGAGCCGCTCTTTCGCCCCCCAAGAGAAACGGTCCGGAGCCCACCAAGCGCATCGTCTTCCCCCGACACCGCTGCGCAAAGGAACGTCTCCTTCGAAGGGGAGGTGACCTGCACAGCCTAGAAACCAGCCCGCACCAGGGACGCGATTGGCTCATCGAGTCCCTGAGTGACATGTGTAGTTGAGGAAGGGGGGCGCGAGAGGAGGGTAGGGAAGCAGCTCGGCGCTGATTGGCTGCTGGGGGGAAGGGCTCTGAAACTCTTAAAAGAAATTGCTCTTGGTGGCCACACTCGGGTCTCGCTGCTTTGTGAGGGTTTCAAGCAACGGGCAGCGAGACGCTGTTTTCCTCCTTTTTCCTGGAGGCAACTTGGAGGAAGGCTTGGTAGGAGCTGCTGCAGCTACAGCAGACTGCCCGGCCAGCCTCTTCTTGGGCTGGTTGGTGGAGCTTTTTTTTTGCTTTGCTTTGCTTTTGCAAACCTCCAAACCCAGGAGCAGAAGAAAAGGGCAGTAAGGAAAAATAAAACAAGACACGGCACCTGGAAGTTGGTGTGATTGTCCGTGGAGAATGGGCACTGCCGTATGCCCAGGAGGCCCTGTTTGGGATGTGCCTGGGATGCTGTGGTTGGCCTTAGGTGTGCTTCTTGCACCTGGTGCTGCCAGGGCCAATGAGTATGATTATGTGAGTTTCCAGTCTGACATCAGCTCTTACCAAAGCGGGCGGTTCTACACCAAGCCCCCCCAGTGCGTGGCCATCCCTGCTGACCTGCGCCTGTGCCACAGCGTGGGCTACGACAAGATGGTCCTGCCCAACCTCCTGGACCACGAGACCATGGCCGAGGTGAAGCAGCAAGCCAGCAGCTGGGTGCCCTTGCTCAACAAGAACTGTCACAAAGGCACCCAGGTCTTCCTTTGCTCTCTCTTTGCCCCGGTCTGCCTGGAACGGCCCATCTACCCTTGCCGCTGGCTCTGTGAGGCGGTGCGTGACTCCTGCGAGCCTGTCATGCAGTTCTTTGGCTTCTACTGGCCGGAGATGCTCAAGTGTGACCAGTTCCCTCAGGACGAAGTGTGCATTGCTATGACGGGCCCCAACGCCACAGAGGCATCGAAGCCTCAAGGTAAGTCTTGCCGATTTCATAGCATCCCGCCTGTCTGAGCTAAGACGGGCAAGACTTCTTGCGGGCCATCCCAAGATCAAGATGCTGGCAGGTGGAACTTTCCCTGAAGCAAGGTGAGATGGATGCTTGAGTAGGTACACTTGGCTGCCATTAAATGTGGAAGAGAGGAGCAGATGGGATCTATGGGGGAATCATCCACTGGCATGTTACAGTGCCATCTGCACAGGCGTAAGAACCCTGCTGGATCATGTCAGGTCAAAGGTCTGTCTAGTTCAACACCTGTTTTCAACAATGAATTGTTAGATGGTTCCAGGAAGTGTGCAAATAATGCAAGAGGGCGACAGCAGTATTCCATTTGTCCTCTTGTAAATGGTTCTTCCGTGTTCCACTGGAGCCCTTGTGATGTACTGGTTAGAGACTGGGATCTTGGTAACCTGGATTCAAATCCCCTCTCTGCCATGAAGCTCATTGGGGGACCTTGGGCCTTTCACTCTCTCAGCATGATGTACTTTCCGGGGTTGCGATCAAGGTAAAATGGGGAATGTAGAACCCAGTACGCCACCTCAGCTCCTTTGACGAAGAGTGGGATAAAAATACTAGTAGTAGGTAGTGTCTTGTAGTTTGTTAATAAACCTCCCTTCTGTGGATCTGCCTAATCCCGTTCTAAAGCAATCTAAGCCAATGGTAATCACCATCTCTTCTGTACTGGTTCAGGTTGATAGCTGGGATGTGTAGTGGCTAAGAGTCTTGGCAGCTGAGTTGATTCCTAGGGCAGACACCTCTTCTGCTGTAAACTCACTACAATGGTGGCAATCCTGCATATGCCCAATCTCAGTGGAACTTTCTTTCAAGTCAAATGCACCTTGGATCTGCTTTGGATGCTTACCTCTCACATTTGCAATTTGGGGGTAATAATACTTCCTTACAAGATTGTTATCATGTATGTAGTTTTTTGAATACTTGAACACTTTATATGAATGCCAAAGACAATTAAGTTCACCCTCCTAAACCCACTGAAAAGGACAACATGCATTGCTTTGCTTGTGCACAACTCCGTTTCATTTTGCTGAGGCCCATGCTGGAGAAGATCCTTCTGGATTGTGCTCTGCGTGTGGCCAAGGGCATCATTTGGATTTTCCAAGTCAAGAACCTCAAGCACTCTGGAGCCAGTGTAGTGTGCAATTCTGGGCTTGGGAAACCCAAGGTATCTCTCCTCCACGTTGAACCTCACCTGGTGGTGTTAGGCAAGTCAGTGTCTCTCTTTCCACCTCACCTGTCACACAGGTGTCACACAAAAATGCAGTTCTATGCTCCTTGGAGGACAGGTGGAACCCAAACATAGCACCAAGGGGTTTTTGATGACTGCCTCTCAGCTCTAGCTGTGCCTGGATTTTTTTCTGTTCACTGGGAATTCATTCAGCCACGGAACATGAAATTAATTGCACGAGAGACCGTTGTTCCCGGAGTGCAAGAAAAGTGCTTTTCCCTGGCTCCTCAGTAACCTACAACCTGTTGCCCAGATACATGGGGCTTTCTGGTTGGAGAATACCCCACAGACCTAGAAACAAGCCATTGCCCAAGGGACAGCTAGTAACGACCAAACACAACTAGATTTATATAGCACTTAGAAATGTTCAAACAGCTGGGCCTACATTCTTCCAAGAAGTTTTTGATGACTGCCTCTCAGCACTAGCTGTGCCTGGATTTTTTTCTGTTCACTGGGAACAGGACTTGAGAAGCTCCTGCCATTCAGCCACGGAACATGAAATTAATTGCACGAGAGACCGTTGTTCCCGGAGTGCAAGAAAAGTGCTTTTCCCCGGCTCCTCAGTAACCTACAACCTGTTGCCCAGATACATGGGGCTTTCTGGTTGGAGAATACCCCACAGACCTAGAAACAAGCCATTGCCCAAGGGACAGCTAGTAACGACCAAACACAACTAGATTTATATAGCACTTAGAAATGTTCAAACAGCTGTGCCTACAGTCTTTTGACAACAAACCTGAGGGGGGGGGCATTGTTACTAATACAGAAGATGGGGAGAAGGCTGAGAGAATAAGTGGCCAGTTTAAAGCCACCTAGTGAGTTTGCGGTAGAACTGGAGCATGGCTATTTATTTATTTGCTTAGGTGGTCTATTGGTGGAAGGTAGGCTTGGCACTTGCCCAGTTCAGTGCGTTAGGACTGGTTTGCACATGCATTCCTGGATGGTTGTACTAATGACCGGCAATAAGCCGTTGCAGCCAAGTCTTTTAGTTTCACGTCCCAACTCCCAAGTACCATGTTTTTCAACAGAGCCCGTTTCAGACATTTGGTTGCCTCTCTTCAAGAGGGCAGTAATGAAGTATAGGGCAAGCAGGCAATGAACATGCCTGTGTAGAGAAACAGAGTGATTCCATCTCTGTGTGAACTAGCCTTGGAAGAATACTCTACATACTCCCAGAAAGCACGCGTGGGAAGAGGGGAGTATTGTCTACCTACAGCTCTTTTTCCCTAAGTGGGCTTGTGCAGCCCACAACTGCTTTATATTTGTTGCATTGATCACCTGGCTTGTGGCTAATATGGATTAGCATACTTGAAGGATTCCCCCAAACACACTACAAGCCCATTGCCAACATATCTTGAGAATAACAGCACAGCATAATGTCACATGCTTCTTACAAACCCAGAGAAGTTTCCTGTGTTAAATAATGGGAACGGGGGAGCTCCCTGCATTTTCTGTTCCATGCACCAAAATATTTCTGGCCAGCCTAGAAACCCGTGTGGTATAACAGCTACAAGTTTGTCCTTGCCTGAGCAAATGCTGGTTCAAATCCCTGCCAGGCTATGATACTCACTGAGTTGTTATGGGCAAGGTAGAATTAATTTGATGTTACTTTTGGAACCATGCTACTTACGATCTGCAGTTGTTTTCAAATAAGGCTCAGCAATTTGCAGTTCCTAGGCTGAATGTCACTTCCTGAGTGGTGCCACTCTGGCCTCCCCAACTGCCAGTCCTAGAGAGAAAGGAAAGGTACAGATGAGCACAAGTAGCAGTGGGCCTTAGCATCAAGCCATTTTGGTCCTAATACCTTGTAGACATGGTCAGCTGGCAAAATTAGTTGCAGAGCAGAGTCTTAAGGCATCTGCAATTCTGCTGCAGGAAAGGTTCCACACTACAGGTCTCTGTTTCACTCCAGGCCTATCTTTTCCTGATTTATTTATTTATTTATTGCTTTTGGCAGAATGCGCTTTTTGTTGTGACACAGAAGTACAAGCCTGATTCTGTAGTTTAAGCTACCTAAGATGTTTTGCAGACAGAAGCATCCAAATGGAGCCCTTTACTGCTGATGAACTCTTTCAGGGTACAACACTTTGGGAAGTTCTTCTGTACGAGTCCCACTGAAATTAATGGTAGCAGCACAAAGCACCGGAACAGTTTTGTGTTGTGTGGTTCCCATTCATTTCAGTGAGGCTCACGCAAGAGAAGTTCCTGATGAAATGCATTCTGTGGCTCAGATTTCTGTCTCTGGAATCTTTGCTTGGATAGTAAGTCTGCCTCTGTCATTCAGTGCATTTAAAGACATAAATCCTGAGTATCTTTAAGAGTTAAGACACTTAACTTGTGTAGGATGCATTTTCCCCTGGATCTGATTTGTGTAGCTTGAAATGTCATTTCTGAAGTGGGTTCGGTCTCCAGATACATAAAATAATTTGATAACACAGAGGTGGTCTCTCTCTCTCTCTGCCTCTCTCTCTCTCACTCACTCACCCTCTGAGAAAAAGGTCCATTCACACATTCCTGAGCATTTCTGAACCATCTAGCTTAATGCTTCAGGGTGGACTTCTTTAAAAAATAAAGCAGGCTAATCTCTGGACAGGAAGAAGTTATTTTCATAACTGCTCTGAACTTTAAAGCCAGAGGGATTTGTTTCTGGTCATTTCAGCCTAGCTGTCTCAGCAGTGCAGGCTCCAAAATCTTTCTTTTTAAACAAGACCCATTTGTTTCAGTTATACACCAACACTTAACAAGTCCAGTCCAGTTTTCTGATCAAGGGCTTTGCAAAAAAAGAGGATGTTATAGACAATGTTATGTAGTCGACTGCATACAGGCAATTGTTTTTTTACTATTATTACACTTATCTATGGCCTAATTTGTGCCAGAGCTCAGGAACAAACCAGATGTGACCATGGTGGAGACATATTTGTTTCTGTGCGTCCACCAGGTTTACATCTAAAGTGGTAAATTCCATTTCATTGTATCTGAGGAAGTGTTCATGCACACGAAAGGTCATACCTTGAATAAAACTTTGTTGGTCTTAAAGGTGCCACTGGACTCAAACTATGTTCTGCTGCTTCAGACCAACCCGGCTACCCCACCTGGATATAAAGTGAATGTGTGTGTGTGTGTGTGTGTCTTGAACTGTTAAAGAGAAAGATGTAGTGACCTTTCCCTTGCCTTTTCTTTGTTCCTGGCTCACTTCTGGTCTTGCAGTCAGGAAGGGAGGAAAGAACCTGGAAATGGCGGAGAGGTAAGGTGTGTTAGGGGGAATGTCCAGCTTCCCTTTCCCACATACTTCGTTTATTGTGCTCCCTGCTCTATTGTGAATGAGTCAACACGCAAATGATGGCCTCATCTTGACTGGTTTGGCCCTGAGCCTCCATATCTGTTTTCACTGTCAGGGCTGAATGCTGAAACATGTGAAGTAATGAGAGTCAAAAGTGCCACAGAGCAAGTGCAGAGTGCATTCCTTTCCCCATGAAATAATTACAGAGAATCCACGTGCAGGGGAGATTAGGGGGGAAAGTTTCCTAGTGAGAGAGTGGCATCTTCAGACAGCCTTGAGCCTGGCATCTCTTTTTCTAAACTTTGGAAGTATACTTTTGAATGATGCTTCAAAAACCTACCAAACCTGTTTTACTAGAAACTGTAACAGGACATAAAAGTGCTGTTTTGTATGACCAAAGGAAATGGTGGTTCTATCATTATCACTTCCAAGACAGAGTCCACTTTTTCAGAG